CTCGGGGGCCAGCCCGGGACCCCCAAACTGGGCACGCGGGGGGGACCTGCCTGGGTTGGGGACAGTGGGGACAGGGATGGGCTCCTGTGCTCTGCTCCTGCTTGTCACAGCCTGACCCCGATGCCCCCGAGCTGCCGTGTCCGGCCTCTCCTGGAGGCGGTGGGTGCTCAACCCACTCACCCCAGGGTGTTGGGGGGGATCGGGGATCCCCAGGAACACCAGTGCCCTTTCCTGCCCGGCTGTGGGGAGGACTCGGGGTCGAGGAGGTGTCCCTAGGGCAGGAGATGTCCCCCAAGGTGGGATGGTGGGGCAGGAGGACATCCCTGGGGCAGGAGGACGTCCCTGGGACCGGGATCCTTGGGGCAGGAGGGTGTCCTGGGGCAGGGTGGTGGGGTGTGACACCCCTGGGGCAGGAGGGTGTCCTGGGGCAGGGTGGTGGGGTGGGACCCCCCTGGGGCAGGAGGGTGTCCCCGGTGTGGGACAGTGGGGCAGGAGGGTGTCCTGGGGGCAGGAGGGTGTCCTGGGGCAGAGTGGTGGGGTGGGACACCCCTGGGGCAGGAGGTGTCTCCAAGGTGGGATGGTGGGGCAGGAGGACACCCCTGGGGCAGGATAATGTCCCTGGTACCGGGATCCTTGGGGCAGGAGGGTGTCCCGGGGGCAGGAGGGTGTCCTGGGGCAGGGTGGTGGGGTGGGACACCCCTGGGGCACAGGAGGGTGTCCCCGCTGTGGGACAGTGGGGCAGGAGGACACCCCTGGGGCAGGATGGTGGGGTGGAACACCCCTGGGGCAGGAGGTGTCCCCAAGGTGGGATGCTGGGGCAGGAGGGTGTCCCGGGGGCAGGAGAATGTCGCTGGGCCGGGGATGTCGCTGGGACAGGGGTGTCCCCAGGACAGGACCCAACGGCAGCAGCCCCGCGCCGGGGCTGACTCAGCCCGTCCCCGCAGCATCACGTGAAGCCGGGGAAGCCCCCCCGTCCCCCCTCCCCGTCCCCTCGATCCCTCCCCCTCCCCATCCAAACCCGACGCCTGCCCAAATTTTCCGGCTGCCTCCGAACTTCCTCAATCCATCCAGCGGCATAAAAGCTCAGCAGCCCCAGCCCGGCGCTCCCAGTGCTCCCAGTGCTCCCACCGACGGCTCCATGCTGGGGTAAGAGCCCTGAGAGGGAGGAGGGAGGAGGGAGGGGGTCCCAGGGCTGGGTAGGGGACCCAGTGGGGCGGTGGGAGGCTTTTTCCCCGGGGAAACGGATCCCAGTGGGAATGGGAGGGAAGAGGGTCCCATGTGGGACCCTTAAAGGCACAAAGGGGGACACTGAGGCAACATCACGTCTGGGGGGGGGCTGAGGGCTGGTGTCCCTGTCCCTGCTCCCCCACAGGGCTCTGGGTGCTGGGAGCCAGTGGGTGAAGCCAGGGAGGGGCAGGAGGGCTGAGACCCCCTCTGCCTGCTCCCCCTGCACCCCAAAGTTTGGTTCTCCACGGTTCGGATCTGCCGAAAAGACGCGGACGCTGTAATGGGATCCAGCTGGGCCGGCTCATGTGATGCCGGCGCCCGGCCAGCGCTGCCACGGGGGTGTCCTGGCCCCTTATCAGGGTGGGCGGGGGGGTCTCAGACCCCCAAATGAGGCTGAGAAAGGTGTCCCAGACCCCAACTAGGCTTGGCAGGGGGGCCCAGCCCCAAATCAGGCTGGGTAGGGGTTCCAGCCCCAAATTAGGGTGGGCAGGGTGTTCCAGACCCCAACCAGGGTGAGAAGACGGGCCCAGTCCCCAGTTAGGGTGGCAAGGGGGGCCCAGCACCCCAAGCTACGGTGGAAAGAGGACGCCAGCCCCAAGTCAGGGTGTGCAGGGGGCCCTGGCCCTAAGGCAGGGTGTGCAGAGGGGTCCTAGCCCCAAACGAGGGTGGGCACAGGGGCCCAGACCCCAATACCTGAGTCCTGCCCACCCCCAGCCCCCCAGCTCAGTGTCTGCCCCATTCCCAGTGCTCAGCTGGTCCCCAGGATGTGGTGGCTGCTGGCCCTGCTGGTCCCTGTGGCCCTGGCCCAGTTGCACCCAGAGCCGGAACTGGACACGCAGTGGGAGCTGTGGAAGAAAACCCACCGCAAGCAGTACAACGGCCAGGTGGGGTAGGGACCCTGGGGAGGGGGGGTCTGGGAGCTGGGGACCCCCAGGATGGCCCCAGGGTGGGACACTGGGGCAGGAGGGGGGAGCTGGGGCAGGAGGATGTCCCCAGGGTGGGACACTGGGGCAGGAGAATGTCCCTGGTGCCAGAGGATGTCCCCAGGGTGGGACACTGAGACAGGAGGATGTCCCTGGGGCAGGAGGATGTCCCCAGGGTGGGACACTGGGGCACGAGGATGTCCCTAGGGTGGGACACTGGGTCAGGAGGGTGTCCCTGGTGCCAGAGGATGCCCCCAGGGCAGGGGGCACAGGCAGGACCCCCCTGCCCAGCTCCCTCTCACCCCGTGGCACAGGCAGACGAGGTGACACGGCGGCTGATTTGGGAGAAGAACCTCAAGTACATCAACACCCACAACCTGGAGCACACGCTGGGCGTCCACACCTTCGAGCTGGCCATGAACCACCTGGGGGACATGGTGGGTGTCACTGGGGGCATGGGGGGGGTCACTGGGGGGCAGGGGGGGGGTCACTGGGGGCATGGGGGGTGTCACTGGGGGCAGGGGGGGGGCTGAGCACCCACGGGTGCTCCCACACCCCCTTCCCCCTAGGCTCACCCACCCCGGGCTCCTTCCCCAGACCAGCGAGGAGGTGGTGAGGACGATGACGGGGCTGAAGGTGCCCCGTGGCCACCAACGTCACAACGAGACTCTCTTTGTCCCCGACTGGACCGAGAGAGCCCCGGCTGCCATGGACTGGCGCAAGAAGGGCTACGTCACCCCTGTCAAGAACCAGGTGAGGCCGGTGCTACCAGGGGTGCCCAGAGCATGGTGTCACCCCAGTGTCACCCCGGTGTCACCCCGGTGTCACCCGCCGTGTCCCCACAGGGCCAGTGCGGCTCGTGCTGGGCGTTCAGCTCGGTGGGTGCCCTGGAGGGGCAGCTGAAGAGGAAGACGGGGAAACTGCTGTCCCTGAGCCCCCAGAACCTGGTGGACTGCGTGGCCAACAACGACGGCTGCGGCGGCGGGTACATGACCAACGCCTTCGAGTACGTGCGGCAGAACCGCGGCATCGACTCCGAGGACGCCTACCCCTACATCGGCCAGGTGGGGTGGGGGGACACGGGCCCCACACCTCCCTCCCTCCACCCCCCTCGCCCCCATCTCACCTCCCCCTTCCCGGCAGGACGAGAGCTGCATGTACAGCCCCACCGGGAAGGCGGCCAAGTGCCGCGGCTACCGCGAGATCCCCCAAGGCAACGAGAAGGCCTTGAAGAGGGCGGTGGCCCGGATCGGCCCCATCTCCGTGGGCATCGACGCCAGCCTGCCCTCCTTCCAGTTCTACAGCCGGGGTGAGGGGCTGGGGGGCACGCCGGGGCGCTGGGGCTGCCCGGGGAAGCCGAGGTGGTGACAGCCCTGTGTCCCCAGGGGTTTACTACGACGAGAACTGCAACGCAGAGAACATCAACCACGCCGTGCTGGCCGTGGGCTACGGGGCACAGAAGGGCACCAAGCACTGGATCATCAAGAACAGGTACACCGGGGGTGGGGATGGCGGGATGGCCGGTCACCGGCTCGGGAATTGCTCTTCCAGAGGCTCAGGCTCTGCTTTTCCGCCCCTCAGCTGGGGCGAGGAGTGGGGCAACAAGGGCTACGTCCTCCTGGCCCGCAACATGGACAACGCCTGCGGCGTGGCCAACCTGGCCAGCTTCCCCAAGATGTGACACCCCGGCCCTTCCCTCCCCACTTCCCGACCTTCCAACTCGGCCTCTTCCCTCCCGGTCTCGAAGGACAGCGCTCCCGGGGGGAATTCTGGGACTCCACCAGAAATTTCCCCTGGGATAGGGGAGGGAACCCCTCTCCCAGCTGCAGTGAATGGAGGGATGAGCTCCCCCCAGCTCTGTTTTCCTGGGAATTCTTTGCCATGCTGGCTTCTGCCTTCCCATGGATCGTGCTTGGCCAGATCCATGAAGGCTGATCCATCCAGAGATGCTTCAGGAAATGGGTCCCAGGCCAACCTCTGCCTCCAAGAATACTGGGGAACAGTGGATGTGGAATATTCCCAACGGAGAGCACAGATCCCTATCGCTCCACCCTGTATCCCGGTGGAGGCTGCTGAGAATGATACAACTATTTTTCAAATAAAATTGGGAATAAAGGCTGGGACCAGTTTGCTCTGTGCTGGGAAGGGGGTCACAGGGATGGGAAAAGTCCTTCTCTTTCCCAAGGGGGCAGGACCCCCATGGTGGGGCAGAACTGGGAGAGAAGGTGCTGCTGGGGAATTTTTGGATGGACAGATGGACGGAGGATCTGGGCCTGGGGGAAGGACACGTGGAAGGACAGATGGGTGGATGAATCCACAGGAGTCCCCCAACCCCATCAGGGTCTCTCAAACACCCCCCCTGGGGACTGTCAGACACAACTTGGGGGCCAACATGGAGCTGTAGGACACAGGGAGCCCCTGGGATCATGGCAAGGGGGGGAACACGGGTGACAGTGACACTGTGGGGCCACGAGAATTCAGGGGCTTTGGGGAGGGGGGGGGAAAAAGAGACCCCCCGGGGACAAGAGGCCACGGGCACCCCATGTGGGTGAGGAGGTGGCCACAGCACACCCCAAAACCAAACACAGGTATCACACCGGGCCCGACACACCCTGACAGCACAAACACCCCAACACCCACCCACGCCCCGGCACACCCCGGAATGGGGGCATGGGGGGGCCCCCAAAAAACAATGGGGACACTCACACACAGGGGTGGGGCCCCAAAACAGTGGAGACACTGAGACACAGTGTGGGGGGGGACCCAAAACAATGACACAGTGGCCCCCCCCAAAACCCAAACAATGGGGACACTCAGCGGTGACACAACAGCATCTTTATTGCCCCACTCATGCCGGGGGTGGGGGGGGTTCACTCGTCGTGGCCGGGGGGTGGGGGGGCCACGGCGGCTCCCAGGGTCACCCGGTCCAGGTAGGCGTTGTCGAAGCAGCGGCGCCGCTCGGGCTCCTCCCACGAGCAGCAGCCCTGGGGGTCCCGCCAGGAGTCCTCGGGGGTGGCACAGAGCGTGGCGATGGCCTGGGACAGCTGGGGACAGTGGGGAAGGATGAGGGGGGGGTCAGGGTGGCCGTGGGGGTCCCCCAGAGCCGCTGACCCCCCTCCCACCCCGCTCGGTCACTCACCTGCTCCCGGGCGCAGACCCCGCGCTCCTCGGCGGGGAGGGGGCAACACGCGGCCGTCATGGCCCCAAAAAGCTCCGGCACGGGCCGCCTGCGGACACGGACAGGGCGTGTCACGAGGGGAGGGGGGTCAACTCGGGGTGGGGGGGGGGCTGGGAGAGGGGGTGGACTCCTGGGAACCTCACTGAGAGGGGTCTCTGAGCACTGGAGGGTCCCCGATGTCCGGGTCCGCTCTGGGATGGGGAGTCCCGGGTCCCCTCCGGCATCAGGGACTGTGGGGGGCCGGGGGCGGGGGGGGGGGGCGGGGGTGGGTGTTTTGGGGGTCACCTACCTCTGCGTGAAGAGGCGGGTGGGGCCGCAGAGCGAGCGCAGCAAGGCGGGGCCGGGCCGGACCAGGCTCACGTTGTGCAGCTCCCGGTCGTAGTTGGGGACGGGGGCGGCGGCGGCGAAGCAGCGGCCCCGGGCCCGGAGACCCTTGCGCTGGCAGCACCAGTGATGCCTCGTCTTCACCGCCGACTCCTCCCGGCAGAACCGATTCATCCCCTTCAGCCACTGCGGGGCAAAGGGGGAGGTCAGGGGGTCCCCCTCGGACCCCTGGGTCCCTCCCAGACACCTGAGTCCCCCCCCCAAGCCCTGGGTCGTTTCCCGGACGCCTCCGCCCCTCCCTGTCTGGGTCCCTCCCTGAGAGGTTCGTCACCCCCGCAGACACCTGGGTGCCTCCCCCGCCTCTGGGTCACGCTCCGGGCACCTCGGTCATTGCCGGGGCACCGGGGGCTCCTCCCCGGATGGCGGGGGCCCTCCCATACAAATGGGGCCCCTCCCCGGATACCTGAGGGCCAGCCCAAACACCTGGGGCCCTTTCCCAGACTCCTGGTTCCCTTTCCGGGACTCCTGGGTCCCCCTCCCAAATGCCTGGGTCCCCCCAGTCCTTCGACACCCAAGACCCTCCCAAACACCTGGGTCCATTTCCCAGACTCCTGGATCCCTTTCCGAATCACTTGTGTCCCTTTCCCGGATTCCTGGATCCCCCCCAGTCCTTCGACACCCGAGTGCCCCTCATCCTCTGACTCCGGGACCCTCCCCGCCCCCGTGTCCCCCCCTTGTGTCCCCCCTTGTCGCACTCACGGCGCTGTGGGCGCAGCTCAGGCTCTCGTTGCGGCAGCACCGCCCGTACTCTCGCTCCAGGCGGACCCGCAGCTCGATGCGGGGCCCGGAGGGGGTGTCGGGCCCGGGGGGGCCGGGGCGCAGCTCCCGCAGCCCGCAGATGTTGCCCAAGTTGGCGGCCGTGGGCTCCCCGGGCGGGAAGGGGGTCTCGGTGACCAGGTCCCAGGCGGTGTTGGGCTCCCAGGAGGTGTTGGGGTCCCAGGTGGGGGCCGGGGTCTCCTGGGCGAAGCAGCGGCGCCGCGCGGCCCCGTGCCGGCGGCAGCAGTGGAACTGCCGCGTCTTCACCGCGAACTCATCGGTGCAGAACCCGTCCAGCACGTCCGTCCACTGCGGAGCCCCCTCGGGGTCACCCCGGCCCCGCGGCGGCCCCGCGTCCTTCCCTCCACCGAGTCCCCGCGCGCCCCCTCCCCGCGGTGTCCCCACGTTCCCCTCGCCCCGTTGTTTCCGTGTCTTCCCTTCCTGCAGTGTCCCCATGTCCCCCCTCCAAGTGTCCCCACATCCCACCTCCCCGCGGTGTCCCCACATTCCCCTCGCCCCGGTGTTCCCGTGTCTTCCCTTCCTGCAGTGTCCCCATGTCCCCCCCTCCAAGAGCCCCCCCCCAAGTGTCCCCACATCCCACCTCCCCGCGGTGTCCCCACGTTCCCCCCGCCCCGGTGTTTCCTGCAGTGTCCCCATGTCCCCCCCTCCAAGTGTCCCCGTGCCCCACAGTGTCCCCACATCCCACCTCCCCGCGGTGTCCCCACTCCCTGCAGTGTCTCTACGTCCCCCTTCCCAGTGGTGTCCCCCGTGCCCGCAGTGTCCCCCCCTCCCCGCGGTGGTCACCCCCGTCCCCGTGGAGTCCCCGTGTCCCCCCGTGTCCCCCCGTGTCCCCCCGTGTCCCGCACTCACGGCGCGGCGGGCGCAGGGCAGCGGTGCGTGGTGCCGGCAGCAGTCGCTCATGCGGGGCCGCAGCGCTGCCAGCGCGGCCGCCTGACGGTGCAGGTGGGCGAAGCCGTTGGGGGGCAACATCGGGGGCGGGGACACCGTGGGGGGATCGCGGCAGTGCCGGGTCACGGCGGAGGCCACGGGCCAGGCCGGGGGGAACCCGTCCAGGGCGCTGCCCCAGATCGGGGGGCGGCCCGAGACGGTCGTGCTTCCCCCTAACAGGATGTTGGGGGGCACCGCGGGGTCCACCTCCTGCTGCAGCACTGAAAAAGGAAGGGTGGAGGGTGGGGACAGGGCGGGTGGCGTCCCTCTGCACTGTCCCCAGGTGACACTTGTCCCCATGTGCCCCCCTCTCCCCATTTGTTCCCTGTCCCAGTGTCCGTGTCTCACATTGTGGTGTCCCCCCACCCCATCCCCAACCCGCACCGTCCCCAAGTCATTCCCACCCCGTGTCCCCCCCCATCCGTGTCTCCCCTGGTCGCCCACCCATGTCCCCGTGTCCCTCCACCCCCAACCTTGTCCCCTTCCTCCCTGTGAGCATCTCCCTCTTCCCTGTCCTGGGTGTGTCCCCTCGTGTCCCCCCATCCCTGGCTGTCCCCATCTGTCCCCGTCTGTCCCCTCACCTTGCCCGATGTTGGTGGGCCCCAGGTCCAGGCTCTCCTGTAGCACCTGCTCGACCTGCCCCGAGGCCGCCGCTGTCACCGGTGGGGGACACAGGGGGTCAGCGGGGTCACCCCCTCCATCCCCACGCCCGTGGGGCAACGAGCAGAGACCCTCCCACACCTGCGGGCCCAGTGGAGCCCCATCCCGGGGAAGGGACCCAGGAGTTTGGGACAGGGACCCCCGGGCACTCGGGAGGGCTCCAGGTGTGTGGGCAGGGACCGGCACATCCGGGGCGGGGAGCCCAGGAGCGAGGGTGGGACACCCGGGAGGTGTCCCAAATACCGGGGAGGAACTCAGGTGTCCCAGGTGGGATCCGGGAGCTCAGGGAGGGGACGCGGGTGTCCCGGAAAAAGACCTGGAATTTCGGGAAGGGGCCCCAGGTGTCTGTGGGGAACCTCAGGTGCCCGGGTAAGGGATCCAGATGTCCGGGAAGGGATCCAGGAGTTCGAGAAGGGATCCAAGTGCCCGGGGAAGGGATCCAGGTGCCCGGGGAAGGGATCCAGGAGTTCGGGAAAGGGATCCAGGAGCTCAGGAAGGGCAGCCAGGTGTGCGGGAAGGGGACGGGGGTGTCCGGGAGGAGGATGAAGGTGTCCGGGGTGGGGCCCAGCCGTGCAGGGGGACCGTGGCTCGGGGCCGCGGGACTCACCGGCGGCGCTGAGGAGGAGGAGGAGGCCGAAGGCCGCCATGGCGTCGGGCGCTGTGGGGCTACCGCCGGCTCCACCGCCTTATGAAGGGCCGGGGCGGGCGCGGGGCCACATCCTGCGGGCTGAGTCACGGCCTGACGTCGGGGCCGGGCCGGGGGGGGGGGCCCCCGGGAGGGGCCGGGGGGCTGCTCCATGTCCCGCACCCCCAAACAGGGCCAGGGTTGTGCCCCCCACCCCAGACAGGCTGGGGACCCTGTCCCCACCCTGGTGGTCCCGTCCTCACCCTGGTGGTCCTGTCCCCACCTTGGTAGCCCCGGACCCCCCTCTGGTGGCCCCAGCCCCCCCCCCCCCCCCCCCGACCCCGGCGTCACACCAGGGGGAAGTGGTCGGACCGCATTTTTGTGGGTTTTGCCCCGTTTCGGGGCCACCGCCCGCTGAGTCACCCCCGGTGCTGGAGGGGGGGGCTCAGGGGCCACCCACGGAGGGACCCCCGGAGGGGAAGGGTCTCAGCTTGTGTCCCCAACCCTGGGGACACCCCAGTGCGGGGCAGCAGCGGCCGGAGGGTCACGGCTTGGCCACCTCCCTTTACCCCAGGACAGGGGGGCCCCGGGGGGGGCAAATCCTGCCTGGGGCTGAGCCCGAACGCCCGGGCAGGTGCCAGCCCGGTGTCCCCCTCCTCGATTGCCCAACCGGGTCTGCGGCGACGTGACTCGGGGTTTGCGCAACCCCCCCACTTTCCCCCAAGTGTGGGCGGGGGGAAATCCCGGCGGGAAGGACCCAGAAGTGCGGGGAGGGGAGAGAACGCGCCCGGGAATGGGAACCCGGGAATGGGAATCTGGGACAGGGGGACACACACACCCCCCCCAAGTGTTGCGGTGGGGGAGCCCGGCTGTACAGGTGTGTGGGGGGGACTCAGGTGTTGGGGTGTGTGGGGGATCTTCCCGGTGTCCCGCCCCTCCCTCCCCGCTCCGGTCTCAGCTCCCGCCACATCCAGCGCGTTTTCCAGCGGTTTATTGAGTGTGTGTGGGGGGGTCTCGGGGACCCCCGGGGCGAGGATTGGGGGGTCAGAAGCGCTGCTCGGCGTCGGGGACGCGGCCGTCCCGCAGCTCCCGCAGCCGCCGCAGCACCCGCGGCAGCTCCAGCTCCCCCAGCTGCCGGTTGTCCCGGGTCCGGACGCTGACGGTGCCGCGCTCCCGCTCCCGCCGACCCACCACTGCCGGGGCACCGCCGTCGGGGGGGGCACGGGGGGCTCCGCACCCCCCTACCCTGCACCCCCCCCTACCCACAGCACCCACCACCCTGCGGGGTCAGGGGGCCCGGGGGGAGTCCCAAGGGATGGGGGGGCTCAGGAGGGTCCCGGGGGGGTTGCCCAGA